TAGTGCCAATAGAGGAAAACTTTGATGATTTAGAAGATTCTTCATGTTGTTGTAAGAACAAGCCTGAGATAAAAGAGCACCCTGAAGAACTGAGAAGTTCTTGGTGTTCTGCAATGACATAGTCTTTGTTCTTATCCAAGAATAACTCAGTTTGGTATGTGACCTGAGACAACAATTTTTAGTTGTAAAAATGCAGAAAGCAAAGCCTTCCATTGATAAATAAATAAACCAATGTGTATCCTCATTAACAGTTTGTCAGGTGTAACACATACTTTAATATACCAAAAAAAAGCATGTTAACAGTCCTAGAGTTGAATATCACTAGAAAAAATGTTTTCATGTCTTAGGCCCGCCAAGAAAAATCACCCACCCACGAAGAGGCACACTGGGGATTGATAAAGTAAAATTATGAGGGCATCCTTGCTAACGTTATAATCTTTTAGAGCAAGTGAAGCACATGTTTCAATAATAAATACATCATAAGAGATGCATACCTCACCAGCATAATGGACAATAGTGAAGTCAGTCCGTGATAGCTTTGGCTTGTTGAAGCGTTTGTGGTCTCGGAAGGACTGATAAAGCTTTTCAGCGAAGGTCTCATGTGTCGACCTTGGGAACATGCTACAAGGAGTAAGCAAGGCTTGTAAGCGTCAAGCAAAACTAGTAGACAACCTGAATAAGAAATGGAAGGAGAATTCTATAATTTGAACATATATTACCAGGCCTCATCTAGCAGAGTAATAACTCCACCAGGTTTCTATAATAATAATAATAACAGGGATATTCAATAAAGGGTAAGAGAAAATAATAAGTGCGTGCACAGAGAGAAAAAACTGATATAAAGAATTGCATGAGTAGTACAGATGACTATATACAAAAATTGCAAGACCAAATATGACGTCAAGGAAGCATATTCAATAACAACTTATTCATGTCTCCCCCAAGGATATTTTTCTTTTCATATTGGTTTCCTCTTATTTCTTACATAGGAATTTTCCTCCATTTTACTTACATGTTTTTCAAATGCACACATGAGAGAATTCAAACATAAGATTTGTAAAGAAAGATCAGTGCTAGTGTAGACATAAAGAGAGAGACAAATGGAGGATTCAGAATTAGAGAATTCAAACATAAGCCTTGTACAAAAAGATCAGCATTAGTGTAGACATGTAGACCTATGGAGGAATCTTCGAGCAAGATGCTGGCTGATGCATGGTTTTAAGTGTTGCGAGCGACGTGGCTGTAGTGGTAGACAGACGCTGAGGAAAACAAGTGTGACATAGTACCAAATATGCAGAGTCACGATGAGAGAATTATTTTGATTTTATGTTATTAATATTTACGGAGTATTTTGTTTAAGTATATTTTACGGAGTATTTAGTAG